ATGAACATTGACATTCTACCTACATCAGATAATAACTCATGCTCTATCCAGCACTGCTAGGTTTGCTCTCCCAATTCTTTTGGATATGAAATTGGACCTCAACTTTTAAATAGTCTTTTCCATCCTTCCGTTCTGGAAAAAAAAATCGAAGGAGTAAAAATGAGGTACAATAGGCTTATTGTAAAAGCTTTCGTGTCAAAAAAAGTAAATGATTGAATAAGCAATCTAGGGCTAACGAAGTTCATAAACTTACAGCATCCTTCTCAATCAAAGAGTCCTCAGCTTCATTTTCTTCAATTGTTGCATATATAAATATATTGTCCCTGATGATTTATTAAAGGGAAAGTGGCAAACAAAGCAAACTCCACGTAATTAAAGCAAAACAGGAAGCATTCATTAAGATGGCCATAATTGCATGTAACTTTTGAAAATCAATTTTCCTTTTCATCAATTCTAATTTCGGTCATCTTTAAGGAGAATGATTAAAATCATCAGTTCACTGACATTAGTTTTGGAACTGCTCATTTGATATTGATTTTGCAAATCAAAGTCTGAATTTTCCCTGTGACCAAAAAATTGTATGCATGAATGAAGTAAATGATCAATATGTCCATTAGAAACTTATATTACAAATGATCAATTGTATGTTGTGATTATTTGAACTAATGGGAGTCATCAATTAGCAAATATAATATGGCCAAACTTGTAGTATCGTGTAACTGATGAATCAATGGTCTCTTCTATCTTAAATCTGAGCAGGATGGAAAATTAAATGAGCCAACAAATCCACAGTGACAAGTCCAGTTGATGTTAGTTCAAGTATGAATCTTGAATAAAGAAGGCAACTAAAGGAAAATGCAAATTTATGAAAACATCATAAAGAATTGAGCATAAAGCAACTAAATATCAAAAACAATAAAATAAAGAAGTGTTGCTCGCTTACCAATGCTTTTGGCAATGATGGCATCACAAGAATCAATTGTTTAGATTTTTTCAAATTCTTCAAACCTCTTAAGTTCCAGCAGTTAACTACCCAAATAAAATAGTGAATAAGCATAAGAACTTTCTATGTTATCCCAAAAGAAATGGAGAATTGAACCTACCTAAGGAGTAATCTGAGTGCGAGGAGGCTCCTGAGCTACAGCTTCAGCCATATTGAGACCTGTGGTCATGCTTAAAGTCAATATTCAAGACATATAATTAGTAATTGAATAATACACAATCTCAGAATAAATCATCAGAAAATATCAACAAGAACGAGCACACATATGCACGAAATTTACCTTGGACCCATGGGTTGCAGCGGGCCAGAGGTACAAAGGATTAAGACTATAAACTCTTTCAAAACAGGGATCTGTTGATAAAATATTGATGAATAAAAACATAAAAATTGCTCAATATTGTGTTTTTGAAAAAAATATAATCTTTTGTTAAATTCATTTTACAACATATGCATTTTTTTATAAAAGCTTGACCAAATGTTAAACACGATGGACTGGAACATTTTAAGGTAATTCTAATCTATCTAAACACAATAAAAGATTATCTTTCAGGCTGGCACATTTAAGGCTCAATGCATACACAAATGATAAATTTTGCCTTCAAGCAATCTACAAACACTTCCCGCAAAAACAGTGGTGAATATAAGTAATAAAATTCATTTGAAAACCAATGCCAGGACACAATGGGATCGACAACACAAATGGAACAATCACAAACATGTTGGCTTGGGATTCAAAGGAACTGGCAGGATTCATATTCCCTTTAATAAACTATCAAGAGAATAAGTATGGGATTCTCTGCAGCAGCAGGAGTGAAAAAGAACAGAAAACAATGTATAATTTGACAATCTAACAACACAACTACTCAACCTCGTTGTATGATTATTTTCCTTTTTTGCTGATTTGTCGAACTTCTGTGGTCACATCTGTAAACTGTAATCAAGGGCAGAGGATGAAGACGGGGCGGAATAGAGGGCCACTCTATTGGCACTGCAGTTGTGATATTTTTACATAACCCACCCATTGGATGGAGGTACCCGAGCACATAAAGAAGTACTGCACTAATTTACATAAAAGAAAATAAACTAATCATTATCAATATGATCAAATAATAAATATCAATATGACCAAATTAATAAGTAGGCATACGTGAACCGATTGTTTCTTCTGTCTCCAAGACAACAAGTGATCCAGCAAAATATGAGAGTATCACAAGTTTACTGAGGAACATCAAACAAAATGCTTCAAATGTCATGTGCAACATATGTAAAGCCATATTGAATTGTAATGAGTGAATACACAATAGGAAATGATTGGGTAAACTATGTATAGCCATATTGAATTGTAATGAGTGATATTCGATGGTTGGACTGTTTTAAAATTTGCTACTAAAAATCACCCAAAATCGTAACTCTCATAAACGCCCAAAGTTGGTATTTTAGAAAAACCCATAACCGGTACCCACTCCCAAGCAGGCACTTTGAGGAAGCATATCATCTAATTTCATTAAAAGCCAGAGCAAACCAAAACATAAGCACAAATAATAGTATACAGTGCCCAAATAAATTAATGAACAACGCCTCTTTCAAGTAAATTTTCAGTCTGTCATTAGATGTATATAACAGAAATCCTGAATGGCATTGGATTTAAGAGATATCAACCTTTTATTCAATGAAATTAGACGAAGTAAAATGGACATAATGTTAAATCTAAAGAACCGCAAGTTTTTGTGCTTACTCTTGCGAGATAACAAGGAGTCCCACAAGCGAGTAGCTCTCTGAACTATATGAGAGTTCTGACTTGAGCTAGACACAAGCTCATCCCAACGTTCACCTTCCAACTTCACTTTGTTTCTTAAATTGTGTAGTTTCTCACGCTCTTATTGTCGATACGCCTAATATCAAGAAAGACAGGTAGGTGCAAGAAAAAACTCTCGCTTAGAAAATAATGTGAAATATTTCAATTGTCAAGCCCTCCAATAATCCAATATAATATAATCATTATTTACCTCTTCAGCAGATGGACTGCGAAACTCAGCCGTCATTTCATGAACCAAATTGGACCACATGGCCTGTCTCTGAACTGCTGCCTCCGCATTTTTCACAAATCTTCTTCTGTCTAGAGCTATTCTACGCTGTTAATAGATAAATAAATAACAACTTGAGGTATATACATACGAAATTCATGTTGAACACGCTCATCAATTAAAAGAGAGAATGTACGAAAAAAAAGGTTATTGTTTTTCTAGATTGATTCAATACCAAAACATCAAGGACCGTTATCGAAATTTGATGATTAATTCTAGCAACGTCCACCTATTAGATCAGACTTATCCTCAGAATAAATGCTCTTCACCCTCTCCTCAATATGTAAGATAAACAGAGAACAAATTTCGTGTACAGTATTTAAATAAATCAGGGGTGCTATTGAATTCACAAATCAACGCAGCATCATTAATAATTCGCAGTTAAATAATTCATTACAAGAGATTTTTTCTCTCTCTAGAAGCGACTCTCTCGCAAGGAGAGTCATCCCTCAACATCCAAACCCACCATTCCCACCACCGACGACAGGCGTAATGTACTGTCTGGACTCACACAACACCCCGGCCCCACGCCACA